CAAAAAGTCTAACTGACCTCAAACTTTTGAACAGTAGAACACTTTTTTGAACACTTTTTAACAGTTTTATGTGATAATCAAAGCTTTGACTCAAGTGTAGATTCAAAAATGGCACATTTGGTAGGTTTGATGTTATTAATGCTAAAGGAATGTGAAATTTTCTGTCACTTACAAACTGAATTTTATAATAATAATAATAATTTGTTACATTTATATAGCGCTTTTCTGGGTACTCAAAGCACTTTTCATGAAAGCGGGGGAATCTCCTCCACCACCACCAGTGTGCAACATCCACCTGGATGAATTTTAATATTTTTTCACTCAAAGCTGTCGTACGACTCCAAAAGACGAGTCACATTGCTTGAGTCGCATGGACTGCTTTGATACTTTTATGGTGTTTTTGATTGCCATTGGACACTATTGTTTTAGGGAAAAGAAGACAGTTTGGACATTCTGCTAAACATCTCCTTTGGTGTGCCATGGCAGAAAGTAACTCAAAAGGGTTTTGTAACAACATCAGGGTGAGTAAATTGACAGAAATCACATTTATAGCAAGACTAGTTGCTCTTTGTTGGCTGTAGATCTCACGTAAGCATAAAAACAGTTTATTAAGCCTCAGACGGTGATTTGTTCCCCAGAACCATTGCAAAACCACAGACAGTCTGCGCTATACAAGCCTGCAGGCCGCAGACACCTACTCCTGCTGCTGCTGCCCAGGGACTTTGGTGCCTGTTTAACGGGAGGCAAACCTTGAAAACGCTTGGCACAAGAGACCTTCAGCCAAGCTGAATCAGTTAGAGGCTTCTGTGCCAATAGCTAGCTGTGCCTTCTAGGCTCTATGGTGGGCCTGGAACTTTCTTCTCAATATTTCTGAGAAGGGCGTTTAATGGAAGCAGGGAAACATGCACGATGCTCCTGTTCAAGTACACTCGTCTCTGACTGGAGATCGCATTGAACTCTCATCATTATGCGCTTCTGTAGCCGAGAAGGAGATCTTATGAGAGAAAAACAGTCAGAGGGACAGAAATAATGAGACTGCTGGCTTTTTTATGGAAAAGAGACAAAGTGCATAGCTGACAAATGGACATAAACCTTTTTTTCGAGGTAGTTCATTGATGCATTTCTTTTCCACTACTTTTAATCACTTTTTGCCTCGACTAGTTCTTTAGTCCTGCAGTGTGACAGATTATTTTGAAGGCTTGTAGTCTCACACCGCAGGATATTTTTAGGTATTCAGCTGTTATTCACTGGATTATCCATATATTGCATCCACACAAATCAATAAAGTGTTTACTTATTATATTTATTAATGCTGAAGATCCCTATTTTGTATTATGTGGAGGTGATGCACTGAATAAATTAACATGGAATTAGTTAAATAATTATAACAAAGTAAAAAGTAGTAATGAAATGAGTGGAAGGTAAAACTCATAGTACTGACAAGCTTAACAACCACTACGTCTTAATTGCTCTACTTTACTGTATTTTAAGTCGGTGCATATAAGCCTCCATCTTGGCTTGCCTTTGGCCTGTGATAACAATCAAAATAAATAAATAAAATGAAGTGCAATTTAATCATAAGGAGCAACTTTCTTGGTATGTTCATTCATTCATTATGGGATAGCAAAGTGTCCAATGTGTTATTCGTCTACTGCATCTTAAATATTACATATTTTACCCACTCATTACACATACTGCTTTTTTAACTTGGATACTTGTGACAAAATGAATTTTATGATTGGTAACAAACAGTAAAGACTTTTTTCTTTTTTTTTTTACATTTTTAAACACATTTATGTATGTGTAAACACGCAATTATGTATATCTCTTATGAACATCGACCCTAATTAGATAATGTCAGTATTTTAAAATAGTATTTCTGTTTACATTGTTCATATTGATATGTTTCTGTATTTCATGATTTGTAGGGCATTATAAGAACGGTCACCTGACAGGATGATTTCCGTATTTTGAAAATGAATAATTTCATATCTTGAAATTTGAAAACATTGTTTGAAAAGATTTATGAACTTTATGATTCTTAATGTAGTTTATCCAATCAGAATTAAAAGTCATATCTATTCGTTTGTTTTTGATTATTATATAATATGTGATGTATCATTAATTTATGAATATTATTTTCTGGTTTGCATTCCTCAGGTTGCAAAAACAAAAAAAACACAAAACAAATAACATGAAGTATCTTTTGTTTGTAAAGTACTGGATTCTATACCCCGATCTCATGGAAAAATATTTTTACAATTAAAAAAAAAGTATTTTACAAGATGCCGATTTCGTGTGAATTCATATGATGTGAATCTTATGTAAACATTTGATTTTTATTAAAAAAATTAAGTATGAAGGACCAACCCTAACCCTAATTAGCCACCAACTCGCCTAAACATAAAATAGCACACAAAAAAAAATCCAGCAAAAAATACTATTGTGATATATACTGTTACTGTGATGTAGCCTATAAAATAAGGTTTTAGTCATAGTGTCCTCTTCTAAAACCAGTGGTCAGTTTTGCTGGGGTTTCTCTGGGCTGGGCAGGTTTCGGTGTGGGCAGATGGTGTGTGTGATGGGGCTAATTCCTCCTCCACGCCTGGCTGGCCCGTGTCCCAGGAGAGAGCACATCTGTCTGACTGACAGCGCTGCCACACGGAGCACACGTGCAAATAACACTAAACTATCCAGAAGTGCTCAGCATGAGTGACGCTTAAAGATGCACTCAGTCATTCTGTTCTTATTAAAAACTTGTACCCAGAGACTGAGGAGTGCTTTTGATATCTAATCATCTGATCTATGGAATCAGAGCAGTACTTATCTGGATTTTAATTAAGGTGATTGCATTAAACGTATAAAAGTTACACTAAATAAAATTATAGAAAACACTAATTTGATTCCTGATGTGTTTTTTTTTTAATATACATGTCAATTTTATTTTCTTAATTAGAGTGATTGCATGAAACTTTTGTTAAAATTTGAACCAAATATAACTATATAAAGCACACTAATTTGGGTTCATGCAGTATTTTTTTAGTACCGATGTTTTCCTGTGCCCATGAGTGCTGTGGAGGTGAATTTATGCCTTGTTAAATGTTTCAGCATCTACATTTTCAACTTAACAAGGGTCAAACTTACAGCAGTGATAAAAATGTTTAAAAGTCATGTTTCAGTGTGGATGCTGCTCTTTATTTCTTTACTTTCCTCATCCTCAGTATGTTTTGTTATAAATAAAAAGGGCATTTTGTAGAGGTATTGGCAGGTCTGATCTATATTTGAGTGATATTGAGCAGTATCTGAGCTGTGTGAGCAGCAGCGGTGGTGTATTGGGATGTTCGGTGGGCTATACAACCTTTCATTAATGTTTATATGCTTTTAAAGCACAGAGCCTTTGAGTCTGATCAGCACTTCACTTCTTCAAAAGAGTTCATTTGTGCTTTTGGTGTCGAGTGAGAATTTGATATTTTGTTTAAAAAAAAAAAAAAACGATATGTTGTGTCATGCAATAGAAAACTATTATCAAAGTGAACCCTATTTTAAGACCATCCTTTTTTTTTTGCATTGTGACATTGTTTTCATGACAATATTCCTCAGTTTATTTATTTGTTTGTTTGTTTTTATTTTTAAATTGTAAAGTGTTTATAAACACTTTATATTTCAGTTTTGCGCCATTACTTTATTACAGTAATGCAAATCACCATTGAGAATAATAATATGAATTTTGCGGGGTGAAATATACTTAATTATTGATTATGTTTTGGATCTAGTGAAAACAAAACCTTTTATCAAAATGAAGCCTATTGAGACCATGAATTTTTCCGTAGTGGCATTGTTTTCATTTTTAGTTTCCCCCAAAATTATATTTCTTTGTTTTTGTTTAGGAAATGTTTATTGCTTACTTTTAAAAACTGCATGTAAAGTATTAATGCATAGTAGTTTTGTTGTACTGTTGTACAGTATAGACATTTTAGTATTTTTTGTATAGTAGAATAATAATATAAAGCTTTACTTTTATTTATTTATTGTTAGTGACTGAGAATGACCAGTGAGAATAATAATATAATAGTATGAATTTTGAGTGGAAATTAATCTTTAAAAAAAAACATGCAAAATGCAATATTTATTTTTGTAGCTTTCTTTTATTTTATGAAGCCAGTGTTATTTAGCGTATCATTTATTTATCTATTTGTTGTTAGTTTATTTCTATTCTTTCTTTGTCTGCTGACAACACAACTGGTCAGATAATTAGTTAGTTTTGAAAGTTCTTAAGAGCGCTGATAACATTTGAAAGAGTCTCTGTTGGCTATATTTGCATATATTACACTGAAGCGATCAAAAGCCTGCCGTGTGTCGCTGGGCGATATTTGCTTCACCATAGGGGCTTACAGTATCCGTTTCTGAAGATTTTAATTGGGTTGCTTTTGTACAAGGCAGGTGGTGCTTAATTTGAGCAAAACCCTGTGCTTGGTAGATTTGAGAATAAATGAGCTGGTATTTGGGAGAGTGAAATTTGTAATCAGATTGCGGTGTTTATATGCAGCTCTGAGCGGTCATTATTACAGCACGAGTCACTCAAGGTCATCCATGATTTCTTTTATCCTTTATTAGGCCTGTATGAAAGACATTACCTTCACACGTTTAAATCAAAGGCCTTGCGTGAAGGCTCTTTGTTTTGGCTCTCACCTTCAATTGATGTTTAATTGCCTTCTTTTTATTCATTTAATCAGACTGATGTTGAATTCGTTTGATCAAGTCGTGGCTTTGTACTCGAATGCGTTCAAACTGGCCGCTATAATGCTTCGCAACCAACACATTCAAGTCAGAATAATAGTAAAGGGTTGTATTTGCATGAGGCTGTAATTCAATAGAAGCAGATGGCAGAGCACCCGCTGTGTGTTTGCGCTCTTCTGTCTGTTTGTGTGTTTGTTTGTTTTCTTGAACGAGGACTAAAGCAGATTATATATAAACGCTTGGCTTTTGGTGATCTTTCCCAGGCCCGTTGTTCAAGCCCAGCTGCAGCAAAGGCCAGAAATATCTGGAGTTCATTCCCATCAACCTGCACACACAGAGAATGCGGGTGACGTGTCCAAGGAAAACAGGTGCGTCTCATGCATGTCCTTATTCCCTCTGTTTACTATCTCTGGCTGGCTTTGGAATTGAATACTAGCGTACTGCCTATAAATAAAACAATATATAAAACGGTGTGCCTTATTCCATAATAAATATTTGAAAATGCTACTTTTGTTGTACAAATTTATTTCAGAGAGCTATCTAATGAACTTAAAACTTAATTGTCTTAGAAATAAAAATATGAATAATTATATTTTTGTATTAATATGCAAGTTTTATATTAATATATATATAGAGAGAGAGAGAGCATTGCATTGTGTGATACAATATGTAATGTATACTACACAAAATGGTAAATGCAGGTATGCTGTGCCTTTTATTTATACTATATATTGAAATAGTAGTAATAGTAATATGGTATTTACTTATGTTTTTATTTATTGTTTAAATTGTTAAGTATTTACATTAGTACATTTTTTTTTATTGTGTATTACAATACTATGAATGAATGTAGAGATAATTTAATATTATGCATTTTGATTGGAAATTTACTTTATAATCATGATACATTTTCAAAAATGCAATTGTCATGCAAATTTATTTCAGTCATCTAATGAACTAAATGATCTTACAAAAAATATTAGTCATTTTTTTATCAATATATTTTATTAATATTATTTATAATTTATATTTGTAAAAATTTCAGTTTAAATGTCAATAATGTCAATAATGTACGATCAAATTGAGAGCATTGCATTGTGGGATATGGTATGCAGTGTCATATATATATATATATATATATACAGTACATGCATGCTCTATACATGCTATACTGAAGTAGTAGATAAAGTAGTATGCTATTTATTTTCTTGTGTGTTTGTTTATTGTTTAAATTGGAAATTATTTGTTCTACTTCAAATAAAAAACATTTTAGTTTTTTGTAACAGGAAAAAACGGTTTATTACAGTAATGAGAATGACTGTAGAGAAAATAAAGTAATATACATTTTGGAAATATAATTTATCATGACACAATTTCAAAAATGCAATAATTATCTTTGTAGCAGCCAGCATTATTTATTCATTCATCTATTTATTTAATTGTATTTTTTATTGTTAGTTTATCTTATTTCTTTGTCTGCGCACAACACTACTGGACAGATAATTAGTTTAGTTTGAAACTTCTTAAGAGCACTGATAACATTTCAAAGAGCCTTTCTCTTCTACATTTGCTTGCAGTATATTACATTGAAGGGATCAAAGGAATGCTATGTATATATTATATGTCGTGTATATGAATTGTTAAATGCAGGTATGCAGTGCCTACTGTGCACAGTATACTATATACTGCAGTACTAGTTAAAGAGGTCATGAATTGAGAAATCAACTTTTACTGGAGCTTTTGATATATAAGAGGTCATCGTACTAAAATAATATCCTGTAAGTTTCAGAACTGAAAACGTCCTTGTTACTGATATAAAAGCTTTTATTGACACCAGGCCCAGCGAACGCCAGATCCTGGAATGTGCCTACCGGTTAAACTCCGCCTCCACAGAAGAATATCAATGGCCAATTCTGTAGCCCCGCCCACTGATTCGCACATGACATAGTAGGGAAATAACGTAAGTGGCGCTAAACCGGATCGAGCAACCAAGCAATAAACATGCCGTGGAAGAACGCAAAATATTACGCGGTGCCTGGTTGTGACACAGTCGCTGCATAACCTTCCTTTGGATTCAAATATTAGGAATGCGTGGTTGAACTTTATTTTAAATAAGTTTCAGCTCACGCTAGTAAAACATTGAGCGTTTGTCCGCTTCATTTCACCGCGGATTCCTTTGGTCAAGACACAGGTCGCTGCTGGATTTGCAGAGAGACTGAGATTAAAAAGCAATGCTGTGCGTCTATATTGCACAGCATTATAGACGCACAGCCTCTATAATGGATCCAACAGGAATGGCGCAGCACATTATTAAAAAAAATATTTGTACTATGTGTCACTATTGCATTGTTAGAGATCGCGTGATATGTCCTGATTATGTGTACGGGTCTAACTAAAGTCACAGAAGGCTCCAACTATAAAGGACGCAGCTTGTCAAACAGACACAGAGAGTTAGTTTACTATGCAAAACTGTTATCCAATCAGAGCAGTGGGCGTTTACTTCCAAGTCTTCAATGCGGCACGCCCATAAAAACAGCTTTTCTCGACCCGGCCCCAAAACCAGGGTAGAAAATAGCCTATTACTTATTGATTTTGATATTTTTGAATGTAAAAACCACGCGAACTCCATAAGTGGACCTCAAACAACAGTATAAGATAATGAAAAAAAGTAAGTTCATGACCCCTTTAAAGTAATATGATTCTGCACAGCATCTCTCTTTCACCTTCTCTGGGTCTCTTTCTCTCTCTGTGTAGCATGTGTCCGGCTGGTGTGGGAAGCAGTGCATGGTGGTCTCAAAGATCAGTACAGCACCCTATTAGCAAAGTGCATTTGGCCCAGCCACCCTCTGATGCTCTGTTTCACACATGCGTCCCGGTGGCAGGTGGCGCTGCAGTCAGTAAGGGGTCAGCAGGGAGAAGTTGACAGGTGCAGACATGCACTGAGATGACTAAATGAGGATATGACAGCACAGCAGGACACTCACTCCTGATTGGTCAAGATGCATGTCAAAATAACAGATTCACAGCAACTGTGAAGCCCTTCAAAAATCTGTTTTAAATATCACTTTAAAACCACTCATTGTTTGTAGTCACTAATTGATTTAAAATGCAAAAAAGTTTACAATTTTAAAGCTGTTCAAAAGCTTGGGGTTGGTAAGAATTAGTTTTTAGTTTTTTTGAAAGAAATCTATATTGTTCACCAAAGCATTTATTTGTTCAAAATACAGTAAAAACAGAAATATTGTGAAATATTATTAATAACTCTTTTCTATTTGAATATAATGTAAAATATAATTTATTCCTGTGATCAAAGCTGAATTTTCAGCATCATTCCTCCAGTCTTCAGTGTCACATGATCCTTCAGAAATCATTCTAATATGCTGATTTGCTGCTCAAGAAACATTTCTTATAAATGTTGAACAGTTATGCTGTTTACTATTTTTGTATACTTTTGGATAGTATTTACATTTATGTATTTTTTTGTTATCTTTTGACACTTTTTTCAGGATTCATTGATGAATATGAAGGTCAAAAGAACAGTATTTATTTGAAATAGAAAGTGTTTGTAATCATGTAAAAGCCTTTACTGCCACTTTTGAGTAATTTAATGTGTCCTTGCTGAATTAAAATATTATTAAAAAATAATCAGTCAATCAATCAATCAGTCTTACAGACCCCAGACTTTTGAACAATAGTTTTTACAAAGTAGCAATATATAATATAATATTTTACATACATAATTTATTTTGCTTTAAAGAAACAAAAGCAATTGATTGCTAATTATTATATACATGTACAGAGGAATGTCATTTGAAATTCACAAAACTTGCATCTTCATCATGACAGAGAGTCTGGTATAGAACAGTTGAATGACAGAGTGAGAGTTTAAAAGCCAGACGTCGTCTCCCGAGTTCATGTTGTTAATGCTGCTCCGTCTTTAAGCACGCTGCCCAAACACAATTTCCAAGAAGGCGCTTTAGTTTTTAGCCTCAGACAGACGTCCTGAGGTGACAGTAGTGGACAGCACTTTTCAGACTGCATTTGCTTGTTACTAACAAAATGCCATGGATATTTTTCTTTTTTGCCTGATGGTGAAAAGCCACTTACAGCTGCTTTTAAGTCCCATAACATGTCAAATATTTTGAGCTGTAGTTTTTTTTTTTTTTAGAAATATGGAAGTGTTTTCTAATCTTTCTAAGCCTATTCACACATTCATTTCTTATTGGATATCCTTCACTCTTAAAAATAAAGGTTCTTTATTGGCATCAATGGTTCCATGAGGGAACTATTAGTAAGTTTTTTTGGAACTATTTTTAAGAATGTATTTCACATCAACATGCCACATTGTAGAAAAGTATCGCAGTGACATAAACTAGAGCTGTCAGTCAAATTAAAATGGTTAATCTAATTAATTACATGTTATTATGAATTATATAAACAAATTGATAACACTTTAGTTTAGGGACCAATTCTCACTATTAACTAGTTGCTTATTAGCATGTATATTACTAGCATATTGGCTGTTTATTAGTACTTATAAAACACATATTAATGCCTTATTCTGCATGACCATATTCTAGATGCCATACCTAAACTTAACAACTACCTTACTAACTATTAATAAGCAGCAAATTAGGAGTTTATTGAGGCAAAAGTCATAGTTAATAGTTAATAGTGATAATTGGTCCCTAAACTAAAGTGTGATCAATAAATTAATAAAACTAATTGCAATAATCACTGACAAAATCCCCAAAATAGGAATTATTCTTAAACGTGTAAAGATTCGTGTACATTGCGCCAGACAAAAGTATTGAATTGATATTATGAAAAGTGATTTTAGGTGTTTTATTTTCATGTTGCATGCTGCCTCCATCTTTTTTTTGTAATTGTTGTTTCTTAAAGGCACAGTTCACCCAAAAATTTAATTCAGTCATCCTTTACTCAACCCCATGTCGTTCCTAACCAGAATTGCTTTCTTCTATTGAATGCAAAATGTGTGTTTTAAAGGGTTAGTTCACCCAAAAATGAAAGTTCTGTCATTAATTAATTACTATGTCACTTTGGTACGTTCACGAGAGTATCATGACGCGAGCGTGTGGAGGCGCTGACCCAGATCCGACATAATTACGTCATCACGCCGGATCTGGGTCAGCGCCGCCACACGCTCACGTCATGATACTGTCGTGAACGCGCGTCCAAAGTGACGCAGTATAGACGAAAATGTGGAATAAAGTCGTTATTTTTGTTTTCTTTGCACAAATAAGTATTCTCGTAGCTTCGTAACTTTACAGTTGAACCAGTGATGTCACACGGACTACTTTGTCGATCATCTTGGTACTTTTCTGGACCTTGAACGTGGTAGTTACCT